TATATATATATATATATATATATATATATATATATATGGTTTCTCTCCTAATAGTTAGAGCAGTTAAATTTATAACGCCAATCAGACAAGATATTCAAAAATTAATGTTGTTAATTTTGATTGATTAAAAATGTCATTTCAGTGTAGTGGTCACAATTTACAAATATAAGCTTAAGTATATAGCAAAAAATGGGGTTACAGAGGTTTAGAACTTTGGGCCAAAATGACATAAATTTTATAAATGATCTGAATGTGTATTTCCTATTGGTTCTATTAATTTTTTAAACAGCTGAACAGTAGAGTTTAGAAGTAAATCATTTCGTGTAGGTATTTAGTTTCACGTCACAGTCTATTTGTATTGTTTATCAGAAGAATATGGACGACATTGATTTCTTGATAATTCAGAATTTCTCCCTGACTAAAAGATAGATTAGTGAAGTAAATATAATGTTTTCAATTCAACCAAAATGTTAACAGTAATTACTCTAAAAAAAGACAGGTTTTTGGCGTACCTCTTGTCTTTTCTAGCCTGTTTTCCTTGATTTCCAGTTTTCCACGGACATTTTGTTCGTTCTGTTCTCCTTCAAAGTCGGACAGTCTGAAGACATGTATTTTACTGTCTCGACCTATACAAGTTAGTTTGTCAGTTTCAGTTCAAATAAATAAATATATATTATAAATTCAAAACGCGTAAGATATTCAGTGGTTTTAAATAAAATGTAAAAATTGAAATAAAAAGGATCCGTAATTAATAATATTCTTCCTTCTGAAACATACACGTAAAAATAGTTGAAAGAAATTGAACACGTACAAATGATGTCTATTTAGTGTACGGTGTAATATAAATGTAACATATAAAGATGTCCTAGAAAGGAATTTATCTATTTAGTTTATAGTGCAAAGAACTGGAAGATGTCTATTTAATGTAAAATGGAAAGAAATGGAAAGTATAAAATATTTTAGAAAGTAAGACGTCAATTTAATGTACAGTGTAAAGAAATGAAAAGTATAAAATATTTTAGAAAGTAAGACGTCTATTTAATGCATTGTGTAAAGAAATGGAAAGTATAAAACATTTTAGAAAGTAAGACGTCTATTGAATGCACAGTGTAAAGAAATGGAAACTATAAAATATTTTAAAAAGTAAGACGTCTCTTTAATGTACAGTGTAAAGAAATGGAAACTATAAAATATTTTAAAAAGTAAGACGTCTCTTTAATGTACAGTGTAAAGAAATGGAAAGTATAAAATATTTTAGAAAGTAAGATGTCCATTTAATGGTTTTAGTAAATAACGAAGAGTCAAAATTTAATATAATTCTCAACCTCATTTGTTTCATTTTGTATAAACCGTTCTTTGTATCTCTGTGAATTATTATTAAAAACATTTTATAACAGTTAATTTTATAAAACTATTGAATGGTAGGATAAAATATATTTATAATCAAATGTGACCTGCACTTTTTTTAGTGCACGAACAAAGTGTGAAGATATTTTCTGTACAGTATCTAATAGGAATTTTTCATTAAATCATACTAATAATTAATTAATTTGTATATAAAAAACAACAAGTATACCTTTATCCAGTCTTAGCAAGATAATTCCATGTGCTTCTACGACACTAAGTTGTTTAGCTTGTACTGTTCGATCAAAAATCAATCGATGCGTGGCGCCCTCTGTTAGAGGTATGTATATCACAATAAAACTTTGTACTACTTCAGAACATTTAATTAATATCTTTAGGTTTTTTTTTACGTCTTAAAAATAATTCGGACAATAAAAATAAAACTTTGATAGAAAACAGTATTGGTCGTTGTGAAAAGTAAGCAATTTTCCCACTTCTTAAGATTAGAAAAACTATTACTGATAAGAGTTTTGTTTCTAGTTTACTTACAGTTACAAATAAAACAAAAACGAACAGCATTTCTATATATTTAGGTTGCTTCATTTTAATGTTTTTATCAGTCTAAATCACTGAACAGCTTGTATAAATTATAAGGCATTAATGCATCCAAATATTTTATTTCTTTTACATTTTGTTCATAAATAAATATCAAAATGCCGAGTACAATTAATGCAATACCATTTGTGCTTTATAATAAGAATATAATTAACAAGAGGTGTACATGTTTTACCTTCGATCAAAAAGACACCTGCTTCAGAAGCAACAACCACTTTGTTTTCTCCTGAAACGAGAAAGCGTATCAAATTGTTTTTTATACGAGGAAAAAGTTTTGTAAAAAAAAGCGGTCCCATAGATACTTGAGAACAGAGTTCGTGATGTATGTAAACTTAAATTTCACAAAAATCTCAGTATTGGAATATACTACTAAAATATCACTTCGGGAAACGTAGTTGATGCTGTTGTTTCGTTTGGATATTAACGTCATGGATATGGTTCGGTTATAATGCGGTACAAAAATAGCGGGAAATAATTTTGATTCCAATATATATGTTTGAATAATCAAACTTTGCTAACAAAGTATACTATAAGCTATCTAAATATTTTTCTTTTACAAAAGAGATATTATTGTTCATTCAGAATTTTTTTATCTCTATTGATTGAAAAAAAGACTTACCCCATGAATCGCCACAAATAACATCATGTGGAAAATCCGGATAAAAACAATGAGTCTCCCAAGGCTACCAAGGCAGCATAAAAAAATCATGATTAAAAAGCGACAAAATAAAATCACACGAGTTATGTACAAAGTTAAATTCTTTAAGGTGATAAGATATGATGTAATTTTTGTTCATTATGATCTTCAATGTATCGGAAATACATTATATTTATATTAAAACATACACTGAGTGGTCATAAGTAAATAGACACCTAATTTTTCGTCATTTAACTGATTTATGCTAACTAATTTATGTTCACAGAGCACTA